CGTGAGATGTTCAAAGCTTGGGATATTTTTTTTATAACCTAAACCTGCTTTAAACTTCTCTGCAAATTTATCCCTGACCTGTCTGGTGTGTTCCTTGGCCTTCATGATGCTGTTTGTTCGCTAATGTTCTCTAACAAACCTCTGCAGGGCTTCAAAGAACAGCTGTATTTATTCTGAGATTAAATTACACACAGGTGGACTCTATTTACTAATTAGGTGACTTCTGAAGGCAATTGACTCCAATAGATTTTAGTTAGGGTATCAGAATAAAGGGGGGCTGACTACAAATGCACACCACCATTTTCAGATATTTGTAAAAAAAAAAGTTTGAAAACCATTTATCATTTTCCTTCATGATTATGTGCCACTTTGTGTTGGTCTATCACATAAAACCCCAATAAAACACATTTATGTTTTTGATTGTAACATGACTAAATGTGGAAAATATCAAGGGGTATGAATACTTTTTCAAGACACTGTAGATATGTAGTTTTTTGAACTACTTGGAAATAATACCTTGAAAACAATATATTGTAAATACAGAGCCTGATCAGGTTCAGAGAAGAATGGTGGGTACTCAGAAATGATTCAAAGCCAAGAGATACAAAATAAGCACTAAACCAAATGCAAAGTTGCTTTGAATTGTTTGTAATATGACCACATAAAACAGCCTGCACATTGTAGCAGTAGCTCCCTGACAGACTCGCTAGTTTGTCCCACGTTCTCTTACTAATTTGGTGTAGAAGCAGCCAGGCACACAGCAGCACAGACAGTCTCACAGCTCAGTGATCAGACCTAGGGTGACTTTATATGCTTTAATGCAAGTTGAACTTGGTTGGGGTGCAAGGAGCTGTGGGATACTCCAGAACATGTGCAAAAAATCAGAGGACACTTTCTGCTTTGTCTAAACGCCTTAGGATAGTCTCCTCTTGACAGACCCTAGGGAATGAGAAAATCTGGGACTCCAAGGTAAAGGAAAGGTCCCAAACCTGCAGCACTGGAGCAAATACTCAGAGGGATAGTAACAGCGAACAGTCTTTAGGATCCTACATTCAGGCCTATACTCACAATGTCCTCTGATATTTGTATGCCTCTGTCCAATATCAGCCAGACACTTCTCCTTTGAATTTCCAGACCAGATCCTCAGTGGAATCCCTTGATTTGGCTCCAGCTATATTCAGAAAATAGCCCCCTTTGAGTTAGAACCACAATGAACATCTGCAACTTCAGCTATACAGCCCAGAAGAGCAGCAGTCCTTCAGGCTGGAGTGTCCTCCTGGACAAGAACGCTGCTGTTCCAGGTCCCAGACTATTTATGCACTCCTCAGCCACCTACTGGTCACCATCCCTCTCAGGGATTGGCTGAGACCACATAAATATTCAGACCAAGGGTCTGCCCCTTCCAACCCACTACATTCTAGAATCCACTAGAAGGCAGGTGAAAGCCATTGAGTCTGCAGATAGTGAAACCCAGAACAGCCAAAAATACTCACACTATACTTAAGTGATTACAGAGGAGCTAAAGAACTAGATTTACCTGAACCTTTCTAGCAACCTATTCTAGGAAGGTGCTACAACATTTTGGGTAATACACTAATACACTCCTCCTCCTTGGGGATTGAGCAAGAGCTTGAGTAGACTCAAAGAAACAGGTGGCCAGACAGATCTATATGAATCTAGTTCGATTTCCTTGTAGGATATGAGTGTCCCAATATTAGACACAGGAGACAAGATAACGACATTGCTAAAGAGCCGTCAGGTTAGACTGCAATCTTACAAGTAATGTTACAGAGTTACTTACCTGATGCAAAGGATAGCTGATACAGGGCAAGAAAGTGTTAAAGACCAACTTCCACCAAAAAGAAGATTTTTTTAGACTTTTATTATACAGTGAGGAAGGGTTAGAATGTGAGGTAAACTCAAATATTAGATAGCATTAGATGCAAACCAAATTTCATGAACTTGGATGATCTGAGTCAAGTCCAAATTTTAGTGTTGTTTTAACAGTTTAGATTTCAAAAAGTCTTCTGGGACAAAGGGACCAAGGACTACACTAGAGTCTGTTCCTGCCTATTATTGGCTTCTGCTGTTCTCTGGGCTCCATTAGCCTGAATGGCAGTCTCCCCAGGCCCCCATACTTTCTATGTATTCCTCAGCAGTGGCCCCTGATGTTTGTTTTTTTTTGGCTCAATTATCTCATTAGACAAGGAGTCAGGAGCTTCCCAAACCATTCTGTACAATTTGCATAATTTGTTGCTCTGTAACGTACACTTTTTTAGAGCCTGGTTCAGAAATTCCAAATTTAGTTCAGAGTTTTTAAAGTATATAGCCAAATTACAAACTGTTCCCTCATCTCTGTTTAGAATCTGTGTCCAGTTTTTACTGCTCTCTGTGTCTCTGAGATATAATGTCACACTCTGGCATACTGGGTGTCATTGGAGCTGTAAGTGAACAGGTACTCACCCATACACATAATACAATATATAAGATTATTATTATATAGGATTTTTATTATGCCAACAGTTTGCGCAGTGCTTTACAAAATGAAGGTAGACAATATAGTTACAATACAGTTTGGTACAAGAGGAAACAGTGCCCGGCTTGTTAGAGCTTACAATCTAGGAGGAAGGGCTGAGTGATACAAAAGGTAATAGCTGTGGGGGGGATGAGTTGATGGAGGAAATAAAAGGCAGTTTACTAGTTTAGAAGCAGGGTAGACTTTTTTAAAGAGAAAGGTTATCAGGGATTATCTAAAGGTGGATAGATTAGGAGATAGCCGGACAGATTGGGTAGGGAGTTCCATAGGATGGGAGAAGCTCGGGAGGTGAGCATGGGAGGAGGTCACATGGGAACTAGAGAGCAGAAGGTCTTGGGAGGATCGAAGAGAGTGGTTTGGTTGATATTTTGAGACCAGGTTGGTGATGTAGCTGGGGGTAAAGATGTGGATGGCTTTGTAAGTTATTATTAGTATTTAGAATTTTATTCATTGGGCAAGTGGAAGCCAGTGGAGGGATTGGCAGAGAGGGGTAGCAGACACTGAATGGTTGGTAAGGTGGATGAGCCTGGCAGCAAGTTTTAGCTTGAGTTGAAATTGAAAGCATTTTTTTCATTTTTTTAGTTTTGGATAGAGTAGAGAAAGGTTAAATGTTTGCCAAGTTAATTTTGCTGACTGTGTACTATTGGGGAAATTATGTTTCACTTCCTGTCCCAAATAGGCAACAGGAAGTTGGAGGAACTCTCCCAAAGAACGACAGAAGCCCAAAAAACATGTATCCCCACTGGATATTGCCCCTTATCTTTTGTTCTTGGCAGGGGCGGACTGACAACTCATGGGGCCCCGGGCAATAGGGGATCATGGTGCCCCTGTGTCCTTGCCCACACTCAAAAAAGCCTATAAAAAAGGTACCAGGGGCATTTCAATGGGCCCCCCTACTGACCCCAGGGCCCTTGGGCAGTGCCTGAGTGATCGAATGGTCAGTCCGCCCCTGGTTCCTGGCGACAATGGTCACTAGTACAAATAGAGGGGTGAATATCCGCAATGGGGACACAGACAGCAATAAAAAACCTTAACCCTTCTTTACTCTACCAGATACTAAAATGAAAAGGTTTTACCTTAAAGACACACTTTATAACAGCTTTCAAGTTACAAGAGACTGATGTTGAGTTTCAAGAGACTGTCAGACCACAAACAAGTTACAAAGTACTAGACCTCAACCCAGCCCAGTTTATCTGCCCTGTTCTGCCTTATGTCTGCACCACATTGTTGGTGGCCCTGTAGTTGCTCGACTACATGGTGGACACACTTCTGCTGAACAAGTTTTGGCATCAGGCATTGCTAGACTTATGACTGTTATTACTGCCTTGCATTTATATAGAGCCATCATCAATCCCCTCATGTTTTGCATTGTATTGGTATTGTTCTGTCACATGTTCTGTCCCCCTTTGTAATGTACAGCGCTGAGCGAACTATTGGCGCTTTATAAATACTGTATAATAATAATAATAATAAGAGTTTCAGAGATTCATAGTTTATCCTAAGGCATTAAGGTAACAATAGATATTATTGGCTGTCAGACGTCTCTGCCACAATCCTGTTACCTTCAAAAGATGAAGCCCTGTAGACCTCTGCAATACTCACCTCCAGCTCACAGGTGCTCGCTCCTCCAGGGTCTGTACCTCCCACACACAATTCAGCAAAGTTCTAGAGTCACACATTACTTCAAAAGGGTAGAATCAACTTTATTGTTCAGTGCAGACTTGTATTGAAAAATAAAGCTCTTTTACCCTTTAGAAGTGAAGTGTAACTCCAGAACGTTGCTGAATCTGCCACAATCCTACTACCAAATAATTGTGTTTATGGCATAAATGATCATATCATCCAGTCCTGCATGGTCATGCAGTGAAAGAAAGCAGTCAAAAAAACTGTCAAGGTGGGACTTGACTTAATGAAGCAACAGAGATTGGCTGAAAAATACCCAAGACAGCCAACCAGGTACCCACCCCTGAGGATGAGTGGCTGGGGGTATCAGCTGTTGATGTAATATCTGGTCTGTCTACATCCATCTTGCTTGTCTATATTCCTTTACCAGTAAACTGGGGAGATTTTTTTTTGGTGATTACTTATATCAGGGGTGGGCAACTGTGGCCCTCCAGCTGTTGGTGAACTGCAAGTCCCATCATGCCTCTGCCTTTGGGAGTCATGCTTGTAGCTGTCAGTTTTGCAGTACTCATGGGACTTGTAGTTCTACAACAGCTGGAGGGCCACAGTTGCCCACCCCTGACTTATATCCTGTACCCACTGAGCTGGTCTACATTAGCAAAAACAACAATGGATGATAAGCTGGTCCACAGAGTTGCTTTTTTAAATTTGTGAACTTCTGTTCAAAAGAGAAGCCAAGCCAAGTTTATTCCAAAACATAAGATTTTTCAAAATCATTAAAATCTTGTTAAAATGTACAAATTCCTCATTGCTCTTACACCCAGGGGCAGACTGACAACTCATGGGGCCCCTGGGAAATAGGGGATCATGGGGCCCCTCTGTCCTTGCCCATACTCAAAAAAGCCTATGAAAAAGGTACCAGGGGCATCTCATGCGGCCCCCTACTGACCCCGGGCCCTCGGCAGTGCCCGAATTTCCAAATGGTCAGTCCGCCCCTGCATGAGAGTAATAAAGAGACTTCTGCTGTCAGCCAAAATGCTACTTCCCTGGCTGTGCCTGGCTTCAGTACTTCTCATTTGCTCTCCTAGGTGTCAGGATAGGGGAGTGAGCATTTTTAAGACTAGTTAGGTGGCAGCCTGGAACAGGGCTTGACAAATTTGAATCTATGAGCCAGCTAAAAAAGTTAGGAGCCATTTTTTTTTAACCACTTGCTACTGGTTACTTTTGCCCCCTTCCTGCCCAGGCCAATTTTCAGCTTTCAGTACTGTCACACTTTAAAGGACAGTTGCGCTGTCATGCAACACTGTACCCAAATTACATTTTTATCTTTTTTTGAGACAGATAGAGCATTCTTTTAGTCATATTTAATAACCACTGGGTTTTTTATTTTGTTACTAAATACACAAAGAAAAGAACAAAAAAACCCTTTTTCTTAAAATAAGTAATTTTTCTTCACTGATAGGGCACTGATGAGGCAGCACTGATGAGTCGGCACCAATGTGGACAGTGATGAGGCTTCACTAATGGGGCACTGATAAGTGGCCACACTGGCTGTCACGAGGGTAGCGGGTTCCTGGCCTGCCCAGACCCGACTCTATGCTGCAATCTGAACCTGTCCAGGGTGGGAACCGGAGCGACTGGGGTGTCCCCTGCAAAGGGGTGTCCATGTCAAAGTTCGTTCAGAGCCGCTGGTTCATGCTCAAAGGTGAGGCCGAGAGTCTCCCTTGAGTGGCAGGTGTCCCTGAAAGCTGCACAGGGGACAATTCCTGCCATCTCTGCTCCTCCTCTGACCTGCTCAAAAAAGCCTATGAAAAAGGTACCAGGGGCATCTCATGCGGCCCCCTACTGACCCCGGGCCCTCGGGCAGTGCCCGAGTTTCCAAATGGTCAGTCTGCCCCTTCTTACACCTGTCAAGTTCCAGGTGTACCAGCATCTGGAACCTTCATTCTGCTCACATACTTTATTTCTGGACACCAATTATCACTTACAACTTCAAGACTTCTCTCATGTTGCTATCTTTCTCTAGAACTCTCCCTCTATGTGTCCTCAATATTTATCAACCCTACAAGTCTTAAAGTACACAATCAGAAAACATCAAAAATGTGTAGAACCTTAACTCACTCTCATGTTATCCTATGTTCTCTGATTTCTACAGTTACTTTCTCTCCAAAGCTGTCACTAAATTCTTTTAACTTTTTTAGGTTTATAACTTGGGAGAAACAACGGCACCATTATAAAGACTCACAGTTTCCCAGTTAAATCATGGCTGATATCATCTGATTTACAAATACTAGCCTTGAAGATAGAGGATCCCGGTTCCCAAAAACACGTTGGCTGTATCTGTGAAGATTCACATTTATCCAGGTTGTGGTATAGCTAGTATTAGTTAGTCACACTCAACTGGACTTGTTTTATAATGTGGAAGATGTGTGGTAGCTTCTCCAAGCCACTTCTGTACCTGAAGAAGTGGCTTGGAGAAGCTATCAAACGTCTCACAATATTACAGAACAAGTCAATTGAATGCAACTAATAGACATGGAATTTTCATTCTGTTATGGATGTATTCGTCCATTGAAGAATTTCGTTTTGTCATATTTGTTATGTTGAACAAATTCGGTTTTGGGATTCATTTCGTTATATTTGACAATAATTTTGTATATTTGTTGGTCTGAGTTGATTCGAAAAATGTTGCAGTCTTTTCAGAAGATTGGCATATTTCAGGTAGATTTGATATTTATATTTTGAAACTATTCGGAAGGAATCAATATTTTCTGAAGCAAGTGAATAAATAATGCAAAATTCCGCAGCCCTGAATTTTTCAAACCTAAGAATTGTGTTAGACTGTGGAAATGAACTGACTGTGGCAATTAAAAATTCAATTTAAATTATAAATTTACTCAAATCTGAATTATTGAACAAAATTTGAAAATTTAATTTATTTGCCCATGGGCCCAAACTATTACTGAATCATGTGACATCATCCGCATAAAACAAATGCATTCATTAATTTTGTTCAACTTCATATTCGTTGACATTCATTACTATGTCCACTCGGAGATTCAGATACATCTGAACCTCCGAAAATCAAATTTTCAGACAAAAATTGATGTGTTACAAAACAAAACACACATGTCTAGTGACTGACTACTACTAGTTGGAAGCATCATTTTACCAATCACAAAGTATTTAACCAAAATGTTTAACATGCATAGCTTTTCACTTGAGGTGCTCCTCGTTGCACACACACAGACACTCAGTCTGAGGAACCAGCACATCATCCAGAACCTCTAGGACAGCCTTTTCTTAGGCCTTCCATGGAACCCTGGGATTTCTTCAGAAGCTGCTCAGGGTTCCTTAAGCAGTTTACAGTGATGGATTGATCTTCTGCCTGATGGTACCTAATAGTTCTGGCACTAACATCACGTAGCAGAGGCATCATGTTGGGAAGCCCTTCACTCATTGACCATCAATGTGGTATGGCCACTGTGCCATGAGCTGTACTATACAAATTTTCAGCAGGGGTTTCCTAAGATCCAAATATTATTTCAATGGTTCCTCCATGATAAAAAGGTGAGAAAGGCTTCTCTAGGAGTTAGCAGCCCAAGACCCATATACAGTCCTAATTAACTTCCATTAAAAAACATAAAAGTTGGAGCTAGAGACATTACCAAAACTAAAGCCTAGTACACACTATGATAAAATTGCATGACCAGTTGTTCGATTTTCCACGAAAGTGCATATCATGTTGTAGTCGGAATGGTATTGCCTTGTAAGAAAATTCTAAGCTGACAAAGGCAAATGTAGCTATGTAATAGCATAGTAGAAGAGGAAGTGTAGGGTTGTTCTATGCTTCTGATCATGCACATTTTGTAAATTCAATTATTTCCTTTACGATTACTTACACATTACATGAAAATTGGATGTTGTGTTCACGTACAATAAAGATTTTCTAGCTTGCACCCTCAGTTTTTGTTGTTGAAAAAGTCAGAATTGCCTGTCAACAGTAGTATACTAACCGATCAGATAATTGACTGATCAATTCTCTTCCCGGAATTTTCGTCAGATTTTCTTATCAAGCATATGGGCCATACTGTAACTTTATAATCCATCCAGAGCTGCCATAGACACACATTTATGTCATTTCTGCTGTTTTTGTTCCAAGATATTTTGGTAGGGTTCTAATAACTAGCATTACCCATATTTGTTAATTATTATTGGTATTATGCAGGCAGAGACAAAGGGCCACCTTCTGAAGTTGAAATATCCATTTTGGTTGACTAGAGGAAATTGCATATATACTGGTGAATATATGTTCATTTAAAGTGTTACTAAACCCAGGACCCTGCATTTACTATATCTGGTCTCCCCGAACCCTGCATTCACTATATTTGGTCTCCCCGGACCCTGCATTTACTATATCTGGTCTCCCCGACCCTGCATTCACTATATCTGGTCTCCCCGGACCCTGCATTCACTATATCTGGTCTCCCCAGACCCTGCATTCACTATATCTGGTCTCCCCGGACCCTGCATTCACTATATCTGGTCTCCCCTGACCCTGCATTCACTATATCTGGTCTCCCCGGACCCTGCATTCACTATATCTGGTCTCCCCGGACCAGGGGCGGACTGACCATTTGGAACCCGAGAACCCGGGTCAGTAGGGGGCCCCATGAGATGCCCCTGGTACCTTTTTCATAGGCTTTTTTGAGTTTGGGCAAGGATACAGGGGCCCCATGATCCCCTATTGCCCGGGGGCCCCATGAGTTGTCAGACTGCCCCTTCCCCGGACCCTGCATTCATTATATCTGGTCTCCCACAGTATACAGAACATGGAAATGCAATTATGTTAGTAAATATAAACTGATAAGTACCTTTTCTCATAAGCAGTTAGAGAAGTCTTGTGATTTCTATCAGTGTCCAGCTTGTAAGAGGAGTTTTCATTCTCCCCTGATTGTCCTCTGAGGCTGCATAACCCATTACCCTCTGTCTGGACAGTGCTGATTGGCCCTGTGCACATGCACCCTCAAAAAAAGCTCTCTAGCCATGTACACTAAACTGAGCATGTGCAGAATGACTCCTAGAGCTCTGTACTAGCAGCAGATAGACTGGGGACAGTAAAAGAAGGGGAGGTTCAGAGAAGACAGGATCAAACAGCCTCTTTACACAATGTGGAGGAATAACCCCATAGGTTCCACAGTGAGTATAACAAGCATGCTTTATTGGGCCACTGGGCACCACCAGTTTGCATGTGATGTTAGAAGCCACACAAACTCACAGCCATCATTCTATATTATTCATCTTTACTCCTACCTACAGCAGTTGCATTAGGGTTATGTAGATAGATGAGGGGAGGGCAGAACAGCTGGGCCAGAACAGACAGTAATTAGATATAGAGGAGGATAAGGCTATGACGTGCAAGGAGGAAGGGGGTTGTGTTACTGAATTAAAAGGCACACTTGTGTTTTATGTGCTTTTTCCTGCAATTTTTTTAAAAAATGGTAACAGGATTTCTTTAAGTGCACCGGATTGATCTATTTCAATATATACAGAACTGAAGCAGGTAAGAAGCAAAAAATGCCTCCTAAAAGCCTTAATGTACAAAGCTGACCAGGGACCATAGTGGCTGGAGTCCGTTAGGGGCTGAAGAACAAAGGCTTAGGCTGCCATTTTGTCCACACGCAGGAGAGTTCGTGCCTTGTCACAACAGAAGTGCAGGAATGCAAGTCATGGGATGTTAAGTGACATGCAGAGTTATTTTTATAGACAAAATAGATGCCCTGTAGGTGTGTGTCCGTATCATCAAAGGAGAAATGTAGAACATTAAAGCAGTGTGTCACAGGGCAAATAACAACACGTGGAAAACCTGACCACTTCTGGTGAAAAGCATTACATTAAATTCTGATTAATAGAATCCCTCCCAGAGATGACAGGAAAGTATCATTAATAATAGCTAGAAATGTAAGAGCAAAGGTTACAGGAACTTGTTTGAACAAAAATATTCTATCTGTAAGACTATAAAGATTAGTCCACCCAAGACCCGAGATTTTTACGGGACTGAAAAGGATACAACACTGTTATATACTGTAGCTGCCGAGGTCATATTCCAATCTTCCTCCTAGACCATTTTTGGGGCATATTTCCCTCCCAGAGGATTGTGGGGTCATTCTTCTCCCAGACCATTGTGGGGGTCATATTGTTCCCCTCCACAAAGGATGTGTGGGAAATATTCCCCTTCCAGAGGATTCTGGGATCCTATTCCTCTCTCTGAGCATCATATTCTCCTCTTAGGGGTTTGTGGGGCCATATTCTCTATCAACAGAGTTTTGAGGTCATATTCCGTTCCCAGAGAATTGTGACGTTTATTCTCCTCCCAGAAGATAGTGGGATAATGTTCCTCTACAACAGGAATGCCCGCAGCGATAAAAGAAGAAAAGAATTAGCGAAGGGCAGGCATGACTAGGCCCAGAGTGGGAAGGAAGACGTGTGAGGGTTAATAAATGTTTAGAGTTGGTAAAGGATAGCTGGGGATCTGGTTGGTAGAGGAGAGTGTAGGTGGGGTCTCCTGCACTTTAGGGTGGGGTGTTCTGGGGAGGGGCTCAGTTGGGAGCTGGACGTGGGAGAGAGAGCTTCCCTCTCGCCCGCCCTGTTTGGTGAATGTTGTGTTCCTCCTGGGGGGGGGGGGTTATTTTGGTTCCTGGGCGGTGGTTGGTCTTTGGAGGCAGTTCTTATCTTGGAGGTACAAAATGGTGTGGGACCCATCGTTGGTATGGTGTGCCCGGGGGAACATTCCCAGTTAACCGAGGTTTAACTGGAAGGTGGTGGTGCTGCACTGCGGATGGTATGGTTGTCTCCGAGCTGGTTGGTTGCGGCTGGAGGCCTAGTGGAATATGGTTGTCCGCAGGTGCATTTCGGATCGTTTTGGGGGTGCCTTCAAAGACCAACGACAATTCTTTATGTTTTCTGTTATAAGGAATGGTTGATGTGTTTAAACTTGATTTGTTAATAAAAGGCCGTGCTGGCCATTTTACTCCAAAATTGGTGTTGTGTTTTCTGTAAGTATAGTAAGTAAAGGGGATTGGTATGGAAGGGTGAAGGGTAACGGTGGTGTAGTGGGGTCTGGATGAACCTATCTCGGGTGCACTAGTCAAGGATTGTGGGGTCTAATTCCCCTCCCAGAGGATCAGCGGGTCATAGTCACCTCCCAGATGATCATGATGTTGTATTCTCCTCCCAGAGGATTGTGGGGGTCATATTCCCCTCCCAGAGGATTGTGGTGGTCATATTCCCCTCCTGGAGGATTGTGGGGTCTTTTTTCCTTCCCAGAGGATACTGGGGCATATTCCCCTGCCAGAGGACTGTGGGGGCCATATTCCCCTCCCAGAGGATTATGGGGGTCATATTTCTTTCCCAGAGGATTGTGGGGTATTTTTCCCTTCCCAGAGGATAGTGGGTCATATTCCCCTCCCAGAGGACTGTGGGGGCCATATTCCCCTCCCAGAGGATTATGGGGGTCATATTTCCTTCCCAGAGGATTGTGGGGTATTTCTCCCTTCCCAGAGGATAGTGGGTCATATTCCCCTCCCAGAGGATTGTGGGGGCCCTATTCCCCTCCCAGGGGATTGTGGGGTCATAATCCCTTCCCAGAGGATTGTGGAATTATATTGTCCTCTAAAATATTGTGTTGATTTTGAACATTTTGGGGCCATATTCCCTTCCTGTGGGATTATGGATTGTTATGGGGATTATGAGGATTGTGGGGTATTATTCCCCTCCCAAAGGATCAGATTCCTTTTCTAGGAGATTATGTAGATGTTTTCCTTTTCAATGAGATTGTAGGGTCATATTTCCCTTCCAGGAGATCTCAAGGCCATATTCTCCTCCAAGAAGGTTGTAAGGGTCGGCTTCCCCTCCCCAAGGGATTGTTGGGTCATATTCTTTTCCGAGGATATTGTCGGGTCACATTCACCTCCAAGGGGATTGGATTCCCCTTGAAGGGGATTTTGGGGGGTCATATTCTTTTCCCAGGATGTTGTAGGTCAGATTCCACACCCTGGGGATAATCCTGTGGGTGCTTTTTGTGTATGTAGAAGACACTGTGTCTGTAGAAGCTCCATCTCTCCTCTGCTAACCCCCATATGAGTGTTGTGACCAGGGGCGGACAGACAACTCATGGGGCCCCCGGGCAATAGGGGATCATGGGGCCCCTGTGTCCTTGCCAAAACTCAAAAAAGCCTATGAAAAGGTACTAGGGGCATCTCATGGGGCCCCCTACTGACCCGGGGCCCTCGGGCAGTGCCCGAGTTTCCAAATGGTCAGTCCGCCCCTGGTTGTGACTATAAAAATGGTATCACATATTATGGGAGGAGCTGACAAAAGAGAGGAGTTGCTTCCCCATGCCCTGTAGGTGACATGCCTAATAAAAAAAAATGTGTCTTCAGTCACCCCCCTCACTCACTGGATCTCAGGCAGCGGCCTATGTAGCTTCACTGTTAATCCAGCTCCAGGTTATCTTTATGAATACTGAGTAATATGGCCCCTGGAAATCCAGGTTTCATTAAGCTTTTCTAAACAGTCTCCTGAATGGACAAGCACATAATCAATTCTTGTTCAAGGGGCGTATTACAACTAATACATTGTACTGCCCAAACACACACATGTTTTCAGGCATCTTCATCCATACTCATATTAAAGCAAGTGAGGCCTTTGTTAGAGAGCTAGAACCCTCCAATCAGCAGGAAGTATGATATCTGCTGATGGGAAATCTCTAGCTTTTCCTCAGCAGGGAGTCAACCTGCTGCAGAGAGACCACTGCTTCCCCACAGACAGCAAGGGTCCTTCTCTGCAGCATGCTGGCAGAGGACAGGCTTTTCTGTTCCAGCAGTGACTACTTTAAAAAAAAAAAAATGAAGGGGGGGCTGTAATTACACTCTGCTCAGTAAGGAGAGCACTGAGAGCTGATTGGAGGGAAGAGACACGCCCCTCCCTTCACACACCACATATGAACAGAGCTGAGGCTGTCAATCTGCTGGAGGTCCCGCCCCTGTCACTATTTGTCTCTTAGTTAGAAATGACACTTAGTGCTCTTAACTGAGACAAGTACACACTATGGAGAGACATGCTTTGTTCAGGTTTCGTGTCTGAGCTTTACAAACACTTTGATGCTTGAGCATTAATGCATGTGATGGCATGCATTAAAGTGTTCCTAAACCCAGGACCCTGTATTCATTATATCTGATCTCCCACAGTACACACAACATGGAAATGCATTTAGTGAAAAGTATACCTTATGAAGCCACTCCAAGCTGTGGATGGAAGAAAAAGGAAAACCCCACCGGCATGTGAGAGGAGAGCATGAGTCTGAGTGATTCCAGTGTCAGCCAATACAAGTGAAGGGATGGAAGCTGCTCAACTGACCCCAGCAGTCCAATGTTGAGGAATGGCCTCAGCCACTGTACTGGCCACGCCCTCTGATGTGTTTCGCCCCACCCACTAGGACTTGGTCACAGAGGTCCTGGTGGGCGGGGTGAAATGCATCAGAGGGCATGGCCAATAAGGTGGCTGAGGCCATTCCTCAAAATTGGACTCCTGGGGTCGCTTGAGCAGCGTTCATCCCTTCACATAGAAATGCATTTATTTTAGTAAATGTAAACTGCTAAATACCTTTTCCCATCAGCAGTATATAACAGTCTGGTGACTTCTATCACTGTCCAGCAGAGCATAGATTGCAGCTTGTAGGAGGAGTTTTCATTCTCCCCTGATTGTCCTATGGGGCTGCATAACCCCTGACCAGGGGCGGACTGACAACTCATGGGGCCCCCGGGCAATAGGGGATCATGAGGCCCCTGTGTCCTTGCCCACACTCAAAGCACACCCAAAAAAGCCTATAAAAAGGTAACAGAGGCATTTCATGGGGCCCCCTACTGACCCCGGGCCCTCTGGCAGTGCCCGACTGCTCGAATGGCCAGTCCGCCCCTGCCCCTGACCCTCTGTGTGGACAGTGCTGATTGGCCCTGTGCTAATTACATGCACCCTCCCAAGGAAAAAAAAACACTTCTTTAGCAATACACACCAAACTGAGCATGTGTAGCTTTCCCCAAAGATTCTGTTCTATCAGCAGATGGAGTGGGAACAGTAGAAGAAGGGGAGGATCAGAGTAGACAGGATCAAACATCATTTTTACACAATGCGGAGGATTAACCCCTTAGGGTCCATAGTGAGTATAACAAGCATGCTTTACTGCATCTACGGACTGATTTTACTGTTGTGGGTTTATTAACACTTTAATGAGCATTGCAGTAATACAACTGATAAGAAAAACATACATGAGCCTTTTATTTTACAAGGAAGTGCACCGCAATGCATGGCGTATGCTTTCCGTGGTATTCATTGGGCTCTACAGTACAATGTATGTGGGTGTCACGTACAATGAATGGCACATAGAGCAGGTGCATTGACATGAGCGAGGCGTGTTGACGTGTGCTGCACAAAGCACAGGTGCCAATGGGCCCTGATAAATGTTATATACAGGGGCGGACTGACCATTCGAGCACTCTGGCACTGCCCTAGGGCCCAGGGTCAGTAGGGGGCCCCATAAAATGCCCTCCGCATTGTGTAAAAAGGATGTTTGATCCTGTCTACTCTGATCCTCCCCTTCTTCTACTGTTCCCAATCCATCTACTGATACAACAGAATCTTTGGGGAAAGCTGCACATGCTCAGTTTGGTGTGTATTGCTAAAGAGGTGTTTTTTTTCTCCTTGGGAGGGTGCATGTGATTAGCACAGGGCCAATCAGCACTGTCCACACAGAGGGTCAGGGGCAGGAGCGGACTGACCATTCGAGCAGTCGGGCACTGCCCGAGGGCCTTGGGTCAGTAGGGGGCCCCATGAAATGCCCCTGTTACCTTTTTATAGGCTTTTTTGGGTGTGCTTTGAGTGTGGGCAAGGACACAGGGGCCCCATGATCCCCTATTGCCCGGGGGCCCCTGGTTATATACATGGAGCTCACCACTTTTTATGTATATTTCTAAGGCACATTAAAACAATTAAAGATCGGTCTTGAAAGTATCAATGCCCCTCATTCTACGAGCGCAGCGGCACGTGGATACATCCAGCGAGGACCGTGGGCTCCCCCGTCGTACTTATTACAGGTTACGAGTTGGAAATGGCCCTGGCTATGCCTTGTTTTCATAAAAGGCCTGCGAATCTCAAACATATTACCATTCATCAGGCTCAGCCTGGAGTTCACATCTCAACCTTGCATCCCTGGGAGAGTAGAGCGATCTTGACCCGTCTTTTCATTATCTCACTGTTTTTTGCTGTATATGTGTGATGCTTAATGCTCAACGATAATGGAGGCTAAAGCAACCCCCCCCCCCTCCCTACACATGCACTTTCAATCCAGACGGTGACTTAAAAATACATGCACGCTGCTGCGATTTTGCAAAGCGGCGGCTGTTTATTGCACTTCAACGGAGGCAGGGGTCAGGTGTCAGTGGTTGACAGGTTAAACACGCTCATTTATGCCTATTGTATCTGTTGAAAACAATAGAGAGCGCCCTGCGGAGGAGGAATCGACTGCATCAAATAATAACACTTCCTGCGTATTCAGGAAGAGGAAAAAACATATCCATCAGGCCAAGGAGACTGCTGTATATGTAAGGCTGCACACGTAGCAGTTTGAGGAATGGTCTCTGCGGAGTGCATTCTACCCTTATTATTATACAGGATTTATATAGCGCCAACAGTTTGCTCAGCGCTTTACAATATAAAGGGAGACAATACAATTACAATACATTTCAGTACAGAAGGAATAGAAGGGCCCGGCTCGTGGAGCTTACAATCTAAAGGAAGGGGGAGGTGATACAAAAGGTGATAGCTGAGGGGGATGATCTGGCGGAGTGATTCAAGTACAGTTCTTAGGTGGAGGTGGGGTAGGCTTCCCTGGAGAAGTGAGTTTTCAAGGCAGACAGGGTGGAGGCTGACCGGACATGCTGTGGTAGGGAGTTCCAGAGGATGGGAGAGGCTATGGAGAAGTCCTGGAGGCGAGCGTGGGAGGAGGTGATGAGGGAGCTAGAGAGGAAGATATCATGGGAGGAGCGGAGTGAGTGGGCGATTTGGGCGGTATCTGCGGATGAGGTCGGTGATGTAGCTAGGGGCAGTGTTGTGGATGGCTTTGTATGTTGTGGTTAGTATTTTGAATTTTATACGTTGGGTTAGTGGAAGCCAGTGGAGGGATTGGCAGAGAGGGGCAGCAGTCGCTGATTGGTTGGTAAGGTGTATGAGTCTAGCAGCAGCATTCATAATAGACTGAAGGGGGGATAGCCTGTGTAACGGTAGACCAATGAGGAGGGAGTTGCAGTAATCGAGGCGGGATATAACCAAGGCGTGAATAAGTTGTTTTGCGGTGTCATTGGTTAGAAAGGGGCGGATTTTGGAAATGTTCCGGAGGTTGAGGTGGCAGGATTTAGCCAGTAATTGGATGTGGGGCCCAAAGGAGAGATCAGAGTCTAGGATTACGCCCAGCACCCTGGCATGAGGGGAAGGACCAATGGTTGTGCTGTTGATCTTAATGGTAAAGTCGTGAGTGGGGGATCGGGGGGAGGTAATATTACAAGCTCAGTTTTGGAAACACTGAGTTTAAGGTAGTGAGGTGACATCCATGCAGATATGTCGCTTAGTAGATTTGTGATACGTGAGGAGATTGAGGGGGGTGAGCTGGGGAGTGGAGAGATAGATCTGGGTGTCATCAGCATGGAGGTGGTATTGGAAGCCATGGGAGGTTATCAGTTGACCCAGGGAGGAGGTATAGAGAGGGAAAAGGAGGGGCCCAAGGACAGAATTTCGGTTTGCCCAAACAGAAAGAGGAAGTGGAACGGAGGAGGAGCAGTTGTATGTGACACTGAAAGCGCACTGATATAGGTAAGAGGAAAACCAGGAGTTCCTTAAATTGGAACCAACAATAATGTTAAAAGACAACCCCCCCCCCCCCCCAAAAAAAAACCCCACATTTTTCTATAGAAAAAAACAGTGTATGCCTCTGGTAATTCTGCATTCAAATTTGTGTTCCAGCCAGGAAAACCAAAGACCCCTTGTAGGGATGTGGACAAGGGGGTACCACCAGTCCCCCCTGTATGGGGCCCAGGCCATGGGATGGGGATGTGGGCAGGCAGGGTGATTGGCTGGAACTGATCCCCTGTATGGCTCTCTCTGCAGCAGCTGAAAGCTGGCTTCTTCTCCTCTCCCTCTCGCTGGCATTCAGCTGCTGCAAGCATACAATAAGATCCTTCAGGACAGGGCTGCTGTTAGAAACCACGGGGCCCCATACAGCCAACTTGACAGGGCCCTCCACCCTAAGAAGAACATTTTACTATGCTTTATTTATGAATGAACACAGTGAGTGATCGGTACCAATCAGTCATTGTATTCATTCAGGAAAGGAAGAAGCTGGTAAATGTGACTTATTTACTGGACCCTTCCCTCTCTTTCCATCCTTAAGTATCCTATTATGTGCTTGCAGCTGCTGGTGGGAAGGAGAGGAGGGAAGACGGCAGCACTGCGGGGGTGGGGGCACAAAGGGGAAACTGGCAGGGTGAAAAGTATGGTGCACAGGTAGGGTGGTGGTGCAGCGATGGGCAATTACTGGAACTGATCCCCTGTATGGCTTACTCTGCAGCAGCTGAAAGCAAGCAGAAGGGAGAGGAGAAGAAACCAGATTTCAACTGCTGAAGGGAGAGCCATACAGGGGATCAGTTCCAGTAATTGCCCTTCCTGCCATACCGATCAGCCTCCCTACCCACATCGGATTCACGCAGCTGCCTGGGCCCCCCTGCTAGCCTGGGCCCTGTACAGGAGGACAGGTGGTACCCCCTTATCCAAGGCCCTGCTTCAGGATGGAGAGTTGGGGAAAGGTCCAGTAAACATGTCATATTTACCAGCCCCTTCCTTTCCTGAACAAACACAATGAGTAAATAGTATGGATCACTAACTGTGTTCATTCATAACTGAAGCATAGTAAACTTTTTTTTTTTTGGGGGGGGGGGGATTTGTCAGGTTGGCTGTATGGGACCCCATGGTTTCTAACAGCAGCCCTGACTATCCCAATATCATTGAAGTGTCCAATTTAGTAAATGGTACTGATCACTCACTGTGTTCATTCATAACTGAAGCATAGTAAAGGTTTTTATTTTGGGAGGAGGAGGGGCTCTGTCAGGTTGGCTGTATGGGACCCCGTGGTTTCTAACAGCAGCCCTGACCCTTTGAATGAACTCTCAAAGCCCAAGTTAGCAATACTACCAGCCCACCTGGCTGCTTTGAAAAGTGTACCAGAACAAGAGATTTAGTTAGCTGTAAATGAGAGCCTGCTGTATATTTCATCTGGCAGCCCTCTCCCTTGTAGGCTCTGGTGGGTAGAGGTAGAGGTAGAGGTACCCACACCGTCCTTTGTATCCTGCTTCTTTGGATGAGACTGCTTCCAAACCTTCCGTTGTGCTAGTCTTCCCAGGCTATGCAGGCTGTCTTCTCGTTCAGACTGCAGGGTAGTGAAGATCCGTCTTTCCAGTTTCCTTTCCTTTCCTTCCTTCCTTTCCTTCCTTCCTTCCTTCCTTCCTTCCTTCCTTCCTTCCTTCCTTCCTTCCTTCCTTCCTTCCTTCCTTCCTTCCTTCCTTCCTCAGCTCCAGCCTGGAGGCAGAGCTCCCCTTCCTTTGGTTCCACTCTCAAGCCTCAATACTTCATCTTCCACCCGACCACAGACCAGACTCCCCGGTTAGGGTTTTTAAAATAGGTCCATCCCACCACACTGCCAGGTCTCCTGCCTGGGATTGGTCAGACTCCCACAAATATGGAGATCATAGCCTCTCCACC